CTCTAAATTTTCTTGTTAATTTCCATTTTCAGATTTTTTTTATAATTGCTTCACAAAATAATTATAAATTTGGTAGAAATTTTGTCATTTCAAAGTTAGGGAAGGCCACTGGCCTTGAAAAAATCAAGAAATGTTCCCAAAGGTAGAGGGAATATTCTCCAAAATTTCATATTTTTTGGGTTTATATTTATTTTTTAAAAATAAAATACGTGTCGGAGTATTTAATTACTTAAAAATTAATTATTGTTTAATTATTTTCAATTTTGTTTCCATTATTTTGCCCTTTGTTCGCTGAGTTCAGAGTATTTTTTTTTCTTTTTATAATCTTTCTACATCAAGGAATGAGTTTTTAAAAGCTTTAATTGATTTTCTGGATTTAAAAAATTCAGAAAATGTGAATTATCTACTTAATGTGGCAGCCACATCAGCCTCATCTGCTCTGAAGTTCCACGCGACATCCTTTGGTTGGAGACGCTTTCCACGTGGGCGTTGAGGTGGTCACGGTTTGGTGCTCTCCTCCCCCATGGTTTCATGGTTGAACTAGATTGGCATCGTCCATTTTTAATACACAGAAATGGACGGTATCAGTTCATAGTCCTCACGGAATAGAGAACTGATGATCGTTCATGTTCTAACCTTAAGATCTCGATCGATTCTCAATCAAATTGCTCAGGGTTTGTTCCTACACGTTCATCTAGTTGATATGAATCTATTTATACTGCTAGGTATACACACACTGTTCATTTCTTTCACAGATGACCAAAACCAAGGCTAAATTTAGGGATTTTGAACCAAGACCTTGTCCCAAGTGGGTTTAATAGAGGCTATTGACTTGATGCCATGTGCTCCTCCTTGTCTCAATTTGAGTTGAAATCGTTCCTAGCTATGATCTAGAATAAATAATGGTCCAGGTTGGCGTTGGGATAAGCTAGAGGGCTCGGGAAGGTGATCGACCTTAAAATTACATATTTTTATGCACATTTTATGCTCAATTTTTTAGGATATTATGTTTTAATGAAAGATTTTTTTATGTTTTTGGTTGCAGGTAGAAGAAAAATAGTTTAAGAGTAAAAAGGAGCAAAAGTACATAAAAAATAGCAAAATTGGCTAAACTAAAGAAAATTGTCAAACCAGCCGAACTAGTGTCTAAGTATAAGGATTTGATGCCTAGGCGTCAGATGCAGAACTTGGATGACGCCTAGGCCCGATAGTTGGGTGCCTAGGCACCACAGTAATTTTCTGGAAGATTCATTGAATGATGCCGAATTTTGAAGAGATGTCAAAAGCAACTCTTGGTCATTTTTGAAGCTCTATAAATAGGGATTAATTCCAAGAGGCTAGGGGGTCGGATATATAGAGTCTATAGTGTGTGAGTGTGTTAAAAGTGTGGGTAGTTTTCTTTGTGAGTCTTTGTGATTTTTATATTTGTGAGTTCTGTAAGTGTTTGTTGGAGTCAGAGAAGTCAGAGAACTTCAAAGGAGTGCTTGGGGAAACATTCCAAATAAGTATTTGTATCTTTTTTTTAAGTCTTGTACCTTGGATTTAAGTTTTATAAATATGTTTTATTTTGTTATCCCCATGTATTTTGAGTAGTTTTCTCTTTTTTTCCTTTCAATATAAAGTAATCAAGTGATTTTGTTCAGAACTTCTTTTATTTCTAAAAATTGTGATGATATTCTTACTGGTTCTTCATTTACTTTACAACTTGTCCACTTGTTTTGTTAAAATTTGTTAAGAAACTTAAGGAACCGAGAGGGCTAATATTTCTCTAACTAGTGAGTATCACATTTCACATTAGAAAGAGCCATGAAGATCATCCGAGGGGGAATGCAAATAAATAGGGTGATAAGATTTGATGGACATAAAATTATTATTTCTAGGGTGATAGGCTAGATTCTTTTATTAATTTGGTCAAGAGATTGAAACTAAGGGTCACTAGTAGGTCATATAGAGAGGGCACAGTGGGTAATCTAGGAGCGAGATACTAGAACCTACCCAACAATACAATACAAGTCGACACCAACTTTAATGTAGCCAATGTTCTTTATACTCATAAGAGGTAAAGAATAGGCGTGCTCCTATTTGTGACAATATCACATTTAAACTTCAAAAGAATTAAAGTCCAACCCTGATTATGAATTATTTGCAATGAGAATGTCTCTTTATATATATATATATATATATATATCTTGAATTTCCTAAACACTGCATTTACTTTTAACTTTCATTTGTAGGAATTAGTAAACTTTAATCCATTACATAAATACTTTAAATATTTTTTGTAGTCTTAAGTAAAGGTTTTTCAAAGTTAAATTCTTGAATTTTACTTCATTCCTTCCATTTTCCTGTGGGATCGATACTTGGGTTTTTAAAGAAAATTATATATTACTTGAAACAGTATGTATACTTACGTAGTACCCTAGTGAGAAAACTATTAATCTAAATTTTATAATATTACATTTATTCTCATTAACCGCTAAATATAAATTGGGTTAAGATTTTGACCATATTCGAAACTTAAATATCTATGTAATTGCTGGTTGAGTCAAGTTTTTGTGGCAGTTGTCGGGAAATAAATTAAAATAAATTAAAAGGACTTTGAAGAAATTAAAAAGACTTAAAAAGGAAATTTTTTTCAGAACTTTTTGACTTAGAAAATTTTTTTGAACGGTAGAATCACTAAAAATTAGATACGAAATTATTTCAATTTCAAAAAATTACAAAGACAAAAAAATTGCAAAAAACCATTTTTTTTTTTTGTTTAGAAATTTTAAGTATTTTATTTTTTGAATTTTACCATTTTTTCATGTGAGGTTTGTGATCTAATGGTTTAGTACCATACAATTCTGAATTATAACAAACTATAAGAAGAATTCGAAAGCAAAAATAACTTCACATTTCTCAAGAAATGACAAACACATCACAAAATAATATTGAGATTTTAACTACTAAAAATGAATATAAAAATTCACAAAGGATTTTAAGGGAATATGTAACCCTTACAGTAGATGAAATTCATTTAAGTACTCAAACTCCTGCTGTAGTGGCTAACTCATTTGAACATAAACCTCCAATAATACAAATGGTGCAAAACAATCAGTTTGGGAGAACACCACCTGAGGATCCAAATTTACCACCTGAGGATCCAAATTTACATCTATCAAGTTTTCTAGAACTATGTGCTACATTCAAATATGATGGCATATCATATGACGCTATTAGACTTTGTCTTTTTCCTTTTTTCTTAAAAGATAAAGCTAAGATGTGGTTAAATTCACACCTGGATCTATTAGAATATTGGGGGATTTGACATAAAAATTTCTGCCTAAACTTTTCTCCTTAAAAAACTACTAAGCTTAGAAATGATATTACATATTTTACTTAGTTTGAAGGGGAGTCAATTTACGAAACTTGAGAATGATTTAAGGAACTTTTTAGAAAGTGTCCACATTTTGCTTTACCTGACAAGTTACTTATTCAAATATTTTATAATGGTTTAATAGGATCCCTTAAATCTATAATTGATGCTGTTGCTGGAGAATCTTTAATTTCAAAACAATTTGATGAAGCATGCCTTAATTGAAGAAATGACTAATAATATTTTTCAATAACCCTTAGGAAGGGTAAATCCTAAGAGAATAGTTAGAATCATGATAATGATGTGATATCCATCTTGATATCTCAAGTTGCTACGATATCTAGGAAGTTAGTTAATTTTGCAATGAACTTTTCTCAAACAACTCAAGTGAGTGAGGAAAATACATTAGGACAATTTAATGATTCTCAATCATGAGAAACTTTACATGCAGTTACTAATAAACTCAATAACCGATATTCAAACTTTTATAACCCAGGTTGGAAAAATCACCCCAACTATAACTAGAATAATTATAATTATGATGGTGGAAGTCAGCAATGGGAGAACACTCAGGCGAACCCAAAAGGAAACTGGAACAACCAGGGTAGTTCTAACTATCAACCTTCTAGCTTCAATAACCAACAATTTAAGGAAAAGAAGTTGGTAATAGAAGAAGTAGTTTTACAATTGAGTAATCAATTACAAAGTCAAGGTGCTGCTATAAGAAATATTGGGAATCAACTGGAAAAAATTGTTAATGCACTTAGCAATAGACCCTAGGAAACACTTCCTAGTAATGTTGAGATAAATCTGAAATAAAAAAGTAAAAAACAAAAATAGGTTAAAGTATTTCAACTTAGGAGTGGAAGGAAATTAAATGTTGGAACTTAAAAAGAGATTGAATTTGAGAGAGAAACTAAAAAGCCCAGAGAAACTATTTATAAAGATAAAGAACAACCTGTCTCTCCAACTAAAATTGGTTCAAAAAGACCACCACATCCTTTTCCTCAAAAACTTAGACAACAAAAGCTTGATAAACAATTTTCCAAGTTTTTGGTGATATTTAAAAAGCTTACGATCAACATTCCATTTGCAGTAGCTTTGGAACAAATGTCGAGTTATGCCAAATGTATGAAAGATATATTAAAAAAAAAAGAAGTTTAAAGCTTATGAACTATTGTATTTAGTGAAGAATGTAATGCAATAATTCAAAAGAAGCTTCCTCAAAAGCTTAAAGACGCCGGTAGTTTTACCATACCTTGTGCGATTGGAAAAAAATTTAACATAATGTCTTATGTGTTTAGGGACTAGCATTAATCTCATGTCTTTATCTATATTTAGAAGGTTAGACTTAGTAGAGATTTCTCATACTACAACAACCTTTCAGTTAGCTGATCGATCTATCAATTATTCTAAAGAGGTTATAGAATATGTACTTGTTAAGGTGGATAAATTTATTTTTTATATGAATTTCATTGTGCTAGACATGGAAAAAGATAAAAAAGTTCATATTATTTTAGGGAGACCTTTCTTTGCAACCGGACGTGCTATGATTGATTCCATTATTTGAGCGTGGCTCGAGGTCAAATTTGAGTTCAACATATATATTCCAACAATATCAGCACTTGATCTAAAAGGGGACCGAATTCAAAGCAGTAAATTTCAGCATGAAGAAATTTTGCATTACATAGAAGCATACTTCTTCCCAAAGCAGCAGAAGCATCAATCATATGATGGCAGGAAAGATTTACATATGTGGCTGAAATCATTTCTTCGATTTAAAATCCATGATTGCATTAATGGAAATGTTATTCAAATAAAATACAATATGATAGAAAAAAATAATACTAATCCAAATTCGTTTATTCTTAATTCAAATTAAACGGTGGGACATAACTACTCTAGGGTATCTTGGGCATTGACGAGGGCTAGGAAATTCTTGAGGTGGCGAGTGTAGGCGCAGGGCCGCTCCAGGTGAACTAGGTGGCCTGCCTTCTCAATGGATTGCAGCGTGGCATTGTCTCCTAATTGACTGCAACAAAACAATGGCTTTTAGGTTGTTGAACAACAAAAATTGATAATTATTTATAATATTTTAAAGTTTAAGGCACAATCTGCAACATTGGTAGGCAATTGTTCGCACATGAAAAAATAAACGGGATAAAAGGCCTACTCTTTCATGTTCTGGGCGAGCTCCAAATGGAAGATGTTGTCGTTTTCGCCCCACAGAAGAAGTATTCTCTGCAACCGAGTTAGATGAAGCAGCAAATAAGCAAAATTAAAAAAAAAATGAATGGAATTAAGAGTTCCGATTACAAATTTACGAGTTAAAATAAACAAATCAATTTAAAAATATAGTTTTACTAAGAAAATCACGTTATAAACTCTAAGCAACAGTATTTGTACGACATGCTCATTTGGTTTTTTTTCCTAATTGAGAAGCAAGAATGAAAGCTCCTAAGCGGTCTACTTAAGCTTTAAAACATCATGATCTTCCATCTCTATTTATTTCTAATCAATGATCTTTTTAGTTTTTTTCTTTCATTCCGATGAATTTTCATTTTGTTTTTTTGAATTTTATTCAGTAATTATGTTCTTTTTTAATATTTAGCTGCACATGGTCCACACCGAAAAACAAAACAGTTAAGACTTAATGTTTTGAATAAAATTACATATAAAATTAATATTTTTACCTAAAGATTCCACGTGTGCATCTATATATATATATATATATATAAATATATCTTTGTGTTTGGTCAACAGCGCAAATAAATACAACATCAACGAAATTTTAAAATCAATAGTTATTTGTGGACCGAGTTAGGGATTGATTATGTGAGATTAAATCCCAAGAACTCCACAAAAAAAAGAAAAAAAAGAAAAAAGATGAAGACATCATCACATGCCGTGTTAGATCAGTTAAAAATTTCAACACACAAAAACTTATTGCACTTCGAAATTCGATGTTGCTTCGATCATTTAAAAAATAAGTATTGTAGTAATTGTGTTTTATTTTCAAAGCAGGTCGCTGTCATTTGTCGAAATCGTCGGTTAAAAATTTGAAAGTTAAATCACGCACCAAGGTCTTAATCCGCGTTAGTTGAGCGCCATTATGCCTCATCCAACAGTCATAAAGGCATGTACCACATCATTAATATTTTTCGACAAAATCTGATTAGGCTATTATTATTATTAAGTTTTGCCCAAGAAAATACTCTTCTGTTATTTAATTCTGATCAACTATTTACAGATGCCACTCAAATCCTCTGTATTTACATATCTTTTTTCTAAACTTTATCTTTTACACATCCTCTTATCTATTCATGAAAATATGTAATTTAACCGTTTTTAAGTTAAGATAATAATATGTCAACGTATTGTAAAAATTTTAGATGATTTAAATATAAATAAAAAATGTAATTTAACCTTTTTATTTATTGTGCACTAGAATTTTTAAACATGGCATTGAGATAAAAAAAAATCAAACTATATTTCAAGAAAGGTTTCTGAACTATTTTTAGGGCATGATTTTGTTGATTAATTTATTGTATATAGTAATTTAGCTGTTAGCTTACAATGAAAGAAAGTGAATCCTAATTAATGAGCCAAAAATTAGGTTTTTTTTTTAGTTGTGGCTTGAAAGAACGCACTGCATGAATTACATTAAAAAAAAAAAAATTACTTCTTAGTACTTTTTAAAAAAATTAAATCCCTGAAAAATATCAAATAGTATGAAAATATATACTAGAAGACTCAGTTATTATAATTTAAATTTAAAGCATTAAATTTAATTAATTATTTATCTTATTATTAAAACAATTAACAAGAGTATTAAATTTATTTAATTAAGTGTTATTTGATAATGTTTGTTTCGTATTTTTTGAATTTTTAACTTTTTCTTTTTCTATTTTTTATTTAAATTAAAATATATCAGGTTATTGTAATTGTTTTTAAAAACATTTAAAATTCTTTTTTTAATTTTCGAGTATTTTTAAAAATAAATTAATTTATTTTAAAAATGGAAAAAAATATTCAAACTTTACTAATCAAATTTGTTTCAAATATTAAAAAATAATAAAACCAAATAAAAAAATAAAAGTGATGTCAAATGGGCCTTTTATTTATAATTAAATCATTTTAAAAAGGCATAAAATTTAACTTTATTGTTCTTGTAAAACAATTTAATGCGAATAATTTGATATGATAATTGATGTTATTCGATGGTAAAAAATAAGATTAAAAAAAAAAAATCTACTTCTTAATAAATCACCTGAGACAAATTCGGAACATGGTCATCCTTGTTGCATCTTAGGAGCCCCTCCAGCAGCTCCGCACGTTCGTTCCTATTGCTGAACATCACCTGCTCAACCAATACCAAACTAGCCTTTAATTCCCAAATATTAAATGAGCCATTAATCGTGATACACGCTCAATATTCCAGTCGTAATAGTATCAATATAATTTATTATGATAAGACGTTAATCACCCCAACTGCATGCATTAAGAACTTTAATAGCAACAACTAAGACACAATAATGTAACAAAGGTATGTCTACTTAAAGTGGATGTATATATGATTCATACATACAACCTAAAGTTGAATTTAAAGGGTAACATCTTCCTTTTAATTTTTAATTTCTTAATTAACAATGTTAATCAAAGTGCAGTTAAATTTGCATTACTGACGTAAAGTAAATCTCCCTACAAAAATTTCCCAATAAGGGAGATTTGACATCTAATTTTTATTATTTACTTGACCAAAATCTTAACTTCTCATTAAATTACTATACTAATATTCTTTTTTCTGAACTGAAAAACACATTTAAACGAAATGCTTGATGTAATTATAATATTAAAGGTCCAAATAAATAAATATAAAAATTTAAGTGTTAAATATGTAAATTTATTTAAATAATAAAGCATGTATGTAATCGCTGTAAAAATAACCTAGATTTCAAATCAATTTTGCCATACACTGAAATTAAAAAGTTCAATGTCACAGAAAAAAAGAAAAGAGGGTGTCATGGTTTTTGGATAGAATCAAATGGAAGGGGATTCAATTTTTAAGGAGACTTAAATTTTCTTAATTTTATTAATAGTTAATTTTAATTATTTCAAAACATTAAGTAGACAATAAATATTATGTATGATTTAATTTGATTTCCTTATGTTTGATTTAATTTATAAATACAAGATTAATGATAAATGAAAATTTTGTAATATGCTTATTGCATTTTATTGAGTATATTTAAAATAGGAAAAAAAATGTAAATCCCCATTACTGATTGATATTATTTAAAAAAAATTAAATACTAACTTAGTTAAACTAATAATATTTTAAAATGATTTAGTAGAATTTAATAATTAGTTCTGATTGATATTATTTAATAAAAATAAAATACTAACTTAGTTAAACTAATAATATTTTAAAATGATTAAGTAGAATTTAATAATTAGTTAGCTTCGAGATAGTTATTTTGAAGATATTATCTTTTACTAATTAATGAATAATAAATTATTGTTAATCTATAAATACTTTAAAATTTTATTTAATTGTTATTTAACTTAATAAATTCTTAATAACCGATTCTTATAATTAAAATAGAAAATAAAATATAATCAAAATCAATTAATCTTAATAATAATATCAACGATCAATACTTATATTAAAATAATCTTTGCACTAAGAGGTTTAAATCCTGAAATAAACTGCCGACAAATTTAACAAATGTCTCCTTAAATAATTTCTAATTTACATGATTTTTCAAACCCGATATGGCTTAAACTCTATAATTTTCCAGAATGAAAAGACAAGTTTCAAATACATCGATTTTCACATTGCATTTTTTTTTATCCAACTGATGTACAAAATTTGGAAATGTTCTACATTTATTTTTCACTTCCTCATACTTTCGGGATCGCCGGATTAATTTATTGTAAAGAGCAACACACAACTTTTATATATATTTTTTTATTCAATACTTAAATTCATATTTAGTTTTAAAATATTATAATAAATTTATAGATGAAAATATGTATTGCATGTTTAAAAAATTAATTCTGTGATATTTTTAATGCGATGTTGAAGATTTGAATGTTATATATATAAACATAAAAATTTAAATCTTAGATATATAAAATACATAAGAATTTAGTGGTATTTATGTAAACGTGTTTTTCATTGACAATACGTTCCAGCGCTTAGTTAGGTGAGCAAATAAAGGTGCAATTGGTCGTCTTTCCTTCGGGGAAGTATGTTGCATTTAATCAACTTGTCCAGCACCCACCAGTTCCAACGAAATAAATAAATAATGTTGCATTTAATAAAGAAATTAAAATGTTTTTCATCTATTGCATTTAATATTTTTAATTCGCAGGAATCTCTGCATTTAATAGTTCTCCTATTTGATAGGATTATAATAAACATAAACGTTGTCTTAATATTTCACGTTGTCTTAATATTTCAAAAAAAAAAAAAAGAAAGATTTACATACACACCACTTAATTCTTATCTATTTACATATCTAAAACCTAAATTTCAATTTTGACATAAAGTCATTTTATACTTGAAAAGATGTATATTATTTAAAAAAATTGTATTATTTTTGATGTGATATAACAAATTTTGGGGGTGAAAATATAAAAAATACAATTTAAGAACAGGATATGAAAATACATAGGAATTGAGTGGGATATATGCAAATGCTTCCAAAATAAAAATAAAAATAAAAACTAAACCTAAATACTACATTCAGCCTAACCAAAATTGAAAAAAAAAATTACAAGCCATAAAATATTCCATTTACTTTAGCATAGAGTTAAATTTTTGTTAAAACTGATTAATTTTTTTCATGAGCTAAAAATTATTTTTGATATTGACTTTTTAAATGAGAATATTCGTGCATATCAATAAGGCTAAAAATAAAGAATAATATACAAACAGTATACATTATTCTCATTTAATATTTTTTTTCCAATGGCTGAAATATATTGTCAATGTTGAATCAAAATTTTCTAGTTCAATTTTTTATAAGATATCTAATTATCTCATGCGATAATACTTCAATGTTGATGATATTTTAAAATAAATTAACAAATATTTAATGATATTTTAAAATAAATTAATAAATATTATTTCGTTGGGAAAAGCCAAAGAATTTAGAAGATCTCATGACATCCATCAAAATATTGGACTTATGCTATATCTTTAAGAAATATTGAAATTAATTTAAAAGGTCATAAGAGCCCTAATATTCTTGAATCCATTAAAATTTTCATATAACAGAAAATAAATATAATTTTTATTGTTACAAAATTTTTAATAAAATCAGCACGTCTATATGAGAATAAACATTATAATATTATGATAATTCAATGAACTAAATTATATCAAATTAATTTCTAAAAATGGTTATGAAAGCTTCAATCGAATGCATACCTCGAGATAGTCCCGGTGTAAGAAATCCGGAAACCAGAGCTTCTTGTAAGTCGCCACTTTCAAAAGCGCCTTCAAGCCCTTGACGGACTCCGGCAACAAGAGCTCCTTGGATGATGAGAATCCCAACCGCTCCATCGTCTCCTCACTTATCGAATCAGTCATGGCAGTGACAGATCCCGAAACAACCATGGCCTTCACCAGGTCCGGTCTCGCCTCCGCCATCTTGCACGCCACCATTCCACCGTAACTGAACCCCACAACCGTGCATTTCGCCACTTCAAGCTGGTCCAGAGCGGCGGCTAGGCATTCGGCTTGAAAGTCCGGCGACCGATCTGCCGCAGCGCTACTTGAACCCCCGAAGAAGAGCAGGTCCGGGATGTAAACGGAGTAGAGTTTTGTAAGAGCTCCCACCTGAAAGATCGTTTTTTTTTCTATCTTTAGATTTAGGCAAAAAATTTTCTCATTCGATGAACAAAATCTCATTTTTTTTATTCTTCACTCCATAAAAGTTATTATACGTGGGATCTACTTTAATACATGAATTTTATTATTTTAATTTTGAAATTTTCATTAAAAAAATAACAAAATACATCCGCATTCTGAATATATAAATATTTTAATGCTTTGTTTTTTTTATCATACAATTAGCAATTGCTTTTTTTTCTTTTTTAATTCATACATAAATTTAAATTACGCAATATTATGTTGTATAAATTTAGTATAAAAATAATTTTTATCAAAAAAACTAAATTAAATTATTCCAACTCAAAATTTTTTAAGCAATCCTATAATGTCTCCATAAATATGTTATATATGAAAAACATAAATATTATGGGCATTTATATTGAAATTTATTAATGAATCGGTACTCATTCGGCAAAGGTAGCAACCGACCTACCAAACGATACCTTTACGGGTTAACAACCCTACCTGAAACTGCCAAGTTACAATCCCCTCGGCGGCAAAACCATGGACGAGCACCACCGCTGGCTTCTCTTTCTTCCCCTCCCCCTTGTTCTTGTTTTTGTTGACGTCGCCGATTTTTCCGACGGGGACGATTTCTTTTGTGGTGCTCTTTTTGGGGATTTTCTCTTTGGGTATCCAGAAGCTCATGACTGTGCCGGGGTAAATCTCCAGGGTGAGCTGCCGGAGACCGGCTAGCTTCACCAGAGCACGGAGAACAGGTTTCTGTGCTTCCACGAAGTTCACCATCTTAAAAACTCCTCCCTCTCTCTCAGTCCTGCTCTGCTCTGGTGCTGCGCCCTCGAGCGTTTTATGGATGAAGTTATATATATTAATGGAGGAATGAATGATGGACAGCCGGCAAAGTTGGTGATGGTTGTTGGTATTATTAATACCGGGCAAGATAGGCTAAAATCGCTGGCTCCATGCTAGTTTAATTTTGAAAGAATTTTGTTTAAATTGATCTTAGTTCAAGCTTTATTTTAGATTTTAATCTTAGTTCGAGCTATTCAACTACTTCGTCCAATTGCTTAATTTATGCAAACTTTACATAATTTTATAAACAGGAATCGGCGAGTCGTTTGGTTTAGTACTGTAGATGGCTTGCTTGTAGTCGCCCAGTTTCTTGGGGTTTAGGTTACTAGTTTTCGGTATCTCTCTCTGCTTTTTACAGCTCCAATGTCGTTTATGGGTTTAATTTCAATTTGATCAACTGCTCTGCCTACCTGGAACCAACCGCCCTTTGGCGTCTACGGATCGGATTCCTTGTTTCGTGGGGGCGACGTGATTTTCTTACTATTTTTTTATGCCTTTTTTTTATAGCTATATTTTGGTTGACTTCAATAAGATTATATTATTTTTAGGGGGAATAGTATATATTTCCATGGAAAAGAAACGTGATAATTGGGGCAAACGGCAATCTGTGACATCGAACGTCATTACATAGATGTACGTAAATTAGATGTGGGTCTTAACGACTTTAAAAGTGGTCTTACGTACTGAAATCCATTTGTTAGTTCATTGCATTTGTGTTTTAATAAGTTGGCAGTGAATTAAGTGACAAAAATTAATAGAAAAATTCACTTAGGAGCAAGTGTAAATAAGTAATTACATTGTATGAGGAGAAAAAACACACCCAAGTTGAAACGAAAGGAAATTATAAATATGCGAGTAAATAAGAGTATAATTAACTCAATAGAGATATCTGGCGCATGCATATGCATTTATAAATCACAAAAAAAAAATAATATTCTTTTACCATAAAAAACCTAATGGAAAGAAAAGAAAAATTCAAGGAGCATCATCTAGTCAAAATTTTTCACTATATTACTAAGGTTACATGGTTATTCTAGTATTCTCAACTAGGGAAGAATCTATTACAAAATAATGAATACTGTTTGTCTTTTATTTTATAAAATTTTCTTGGTATAATAGGGTTTGTCAGATAACAAATCAATTAAGTGAAAATGATCATATAGTAGCAACATTAAGTTGTAATCAAATTACAACCACTAGTATTGGTGTACAATAGTTACTTATGATCATTAATTTCTATCATTATTCATAAGCTTAAATTTTGCTTTTGACATACTCCTCCCGTTCATGTAGAGAATAGTAGCATTTTTATAATTTTGTAGCGTGACATTCTGGTAAACCTAATGAAAACCCAAAATACACAATTAGAGAATTTATTTTGAATTCTTTGAGTATAGATTGTTATTTTATCATTAAAGCGTCTTAAATACCTAAGAATTAAGTGATCGTAGGCTCTGTTGATTTTCTCACAACAAGGTGGTTTATTAAATTAATTACAAGCATGCTGGATGAGGAGTTTATTTGATATTTTAGTTTGTGGTTGGAAGCTTTAAGTTATACATCAAGTTTATAACTTGGATTTATTTGGACCCAAATTGAATCACTTCTAGCACCATTGAATATTTCTTGTCGAAACGTTTAATTTGATTTTTAAACTTGCTAAAAAAATGCTTAAATAAACTTGAATTTGACCCTGAATATCCTCTCATTCAAATTACATTAATATTTGTGCCTGATATTATATATTTTTTACTGAAACGTCAAGAACTTGGAAAAGCCACTTTGACATTTTTAATGATGAAAAAATTTTTAAAATAAATATCAAGTAATATAAAAATAAAAGCTTAACTAAAAAAATTTCTAAAATCTCAATTCCTTTGAAATGTACCTTAAAAGAGATTAAATAAGTGAAATGTCAAAGTTATGAAATACTCATGCATATGAAGATTTGGGCTAAGAAAAAACCTAGAAGCAAGAAATCAAGAATTAAGTGATTTAAGAAATAATCCTTCTTAAAGTTTTAGGATTGTGCTTGCAGATGAAATGGATTCAAGTTAAGATAATAAGGCAGCTAAAAAATTAATGTTGATTGAAACTTTTTTTCTTGTTTCGTTTTTATGGTTGTGCTTATAAAATTTGCTTAAGAAAAAGAAGACATCTTTATGTTTAGTAAAGCTTACTTGGGGATTTGATCACAATCAACATAATCTTCAATATCATGTTGAAATGCTTTTTCTTCTCATTCAGAATATCAAGCTACAATTTTATAGGATGTTTGATTCCTCAGCGCTTGTACTCCTGCAGAGTGGTTGGATCAATATTCTCACATATTTAAATGATAATAAATACCACAAGTTGTGTAACTCCCAGATTTATAAATCAATTTTATTACTAAATAACAAAAAGGAAATTTTTCCTAAACTTGAATAAATATGAGGATTTTAGAATAAGAGTTTATATATAACTTTAAGTATACCAAAAATTCAGAATTTCAAAATTTTTTTGTGAGTACTTAACCTAACACCTTATTTCAACTTGCACTACAAGAAGTTAGTAACACAAGCAAAAAATTTCATTCATAATGATGAAAATTCATAAATAATTCTATTCCCAATTGTAAACCATATAGAGAAAATTAAAATGAAAAAAATCTTCTCAAAGAATAGACCTCAAATAGTTACAATGTAATTATACTGAAAGCAGTGACATAAAACATCCATTAGTGAATATTTATGATGGAAAACTCATAATATTATCTCATAGATTTTTCATCATAATTTCTAATAGTTTGCCATAGGGTCTTGTCGCCGCCGGTTTGTGTCCGTCGCCGCTAATTCCTGTCGTGTCGGATGTGTTCTTTTTAGTAAAAGGAGTCGTCACTCTGTTTATCTATTTTTATCGCCCTAATCTTTAGTTAACTCATTCTCTCGAATCATGTCAAGGATTCCAAGATTTTAAGAAACTTGGAGAAGGAAGGAAAGGACTAAAAATAGAAAACATGAGAAAAAGAAATGTCGAAAGGATTTTTCATTGTGGTGAACATTATAGAGAAATGATTTCTCATATAAGGAAAACCACTTGAAAAATAAATAACCCGAGATTTTAGGTGTATCACCTATTCTGAGTTCTTAATTCTCCTATAAGAGCAAACTCCTATATTTAATTACATCTTAGATAGTTAAAATTGTCTAAGAAAACTCCTGATTCTCATCATAACTCATTCTTTAAGAAGTGTCAAGGTAAAGGAAAGAAACATATGTTTTATTTCTAGGATAATAGATTTTTAAGAATATGATTCTACCCTAAAAGTTTTGTTTTGTTTCGTCATGTCTTTTTTATTTGGTTTTGTTGTTTGATTTTTGTTTTATTTGTTAAGTCGTTTCATTTTATTTTATTTTGTTATGTTTGTCATGTCATGTTGTTTTACTTTATTTTATTTTGTTTGTCATGTTTTTGTTATTTTGTTATCTCAAAGTTCCACTTCAGAATGTTAGCACACCATATGGCATGCAAAGCAAATCTAAAGAGCAATTTGTTTTAAGTCTCTCACGAGTGTGCAAAAACAGAATATGATTAGCATGAAATCGTGTTTAATTTTGTCAATTTAATTGGTTGAATAATTTTTAAACAACTCGGTCAAGATGTTTATGGCCCTGTCGTCCTGGGGCCGCATAATATTCAAATCTACTTAGTTCGAAAGGTCTTCAAACCAGGATGAAGATTCTTGTTAGAAATCATATATTGCGTCGTCAAAGAAATCTTCGTAGATCTGAACACAGCTGTTTAAGTTGCATTCGGTGATCTTTGTTCATTAGAGTTTAATTTAAGTTTTAATGTCTTATTCAAATTTTAGGGGTTGAAAAATTTTAGGCTGTTTATGATTTATTAACCGATTGAATTTTATCATTTTGTCATTTTATTTGTTTTATTTTTGGGATGACTGATACACCTAAACTATATAGTGTTTTAGACATATTTTTATACTTATTTTTGAGATATTGCGCTTTAATGGAATGTATATTTATGTTTTTCTTGCAGATACAATAAAAAATGAAAAAAAATATGCTTAAATGAGTGAAAAAAGATTAAATTTGGAGAAAAAAAGTGAAACATTGTGCAAAAGAGTTTTGGCGCCTAAGTGCCAGATCCGGCCCTTACGCGTTGGTTAAACAAAGAAGGCCGCGCTTAAGCACGCCTAAGCACCGAAACCCCGTGCTTAAGCGCTAGTGGCAGTTACTAGACGAGTAAAATCGGTTTCACGAGTTTTGAAGAGGTTTTTGGGGCACCCATTCGTTTAATAGGAGGCTGTTGGTTACAATCATCATGGACAAAAATTATTGCAAAAGGATGTGTCTCTTGGGCAAATACATCAAATCAAGACACATTTTGAAGAGATCCCAATGCACCTCTTGGAAAACTATAAAAGAAAAAAGAGATGACTTAGAAAAGAGTCCTGAAAATATTAGAAATTTTTGAAAGTTCTTCTCTGGGGAGTTAGTCCGGAGAGATTTTCAGGAACCACTTTTTATTTACTTTATCCTTTTTGTTATTTTGTTTTGAGTGATTGTAAAAGAGAAGAGATTCAAAGGAACTTCAAGAGTTTGGTAAAGGACTTGAGATAAGTTTTTATCTTTTTGTTTTAGACTACTTTTAGTTTTAATCAAAACTTGTTGTTGGTTTGACAATAATTTCTTCTTTTAAACTAAAGTGTGTTTTTGTTTTCTCCATGGTTTCTAAGTAGTTTTCTTTATCTTTCTTCTTAAAAT